CAATAAATCAGTCGGAGAAAAGGACATACTCACAATACAGCCCAAGAGAAGGATTGTATGTACCAGCTAAAGTTAGGGAATTAAGGCTGCTCTACTAGTCGACACAAGAGCCTCCGACACAGTCTTGTCCTCGAATTTATATTACCAATTACCCAAAGAAAAACGTCCAGAACTTCAGAGAGCAAAGGGGAACCTTCAACAAGCAGATGGGACCTCACTAGAGACCATAGGATTTGCCTACGTAGGACTAGATTGGTCAGACATCTCAATCGGTTCGAGTAACCTTTGCAAATTTAAAAGTGGTTGTACTACTAGGAATGGACATTATCACATCAAGTGGATCGTTATTGGACCTGGGGAAACACCAGATGAAAATTGGAAGGGAATCAACTAGCTTAACTGGACCCGAAGGTACCAAGTTTAATTCGAACGTGATTATAGAAGATACAACTCTGATCTTACAAGGTCATGAACACATACTTATCGGATTCGCCCGAATGTTGACGAGCTGCCCGGTAGTAGGAATAGTGGAACCTAACCAAGAAGAGGAGCTGGCTAAGAATGGCCTAATTCTAGCAAGGACATTATTGAAGGTTGGAGACGGACAACTACCGTTACGCGTTTTTAACCCTGGTAAAGAACGACGAGTCCTTCGAGAGGGAACCACAGTTGGCAAGCTGACACCAATATTAGAAGACCAAATCGAATCGACACATACAGGGAAGGCGCCGCCTGTTAGCAGCGGACGAGTACCCGAGCACCTTAGTGATCTGTTGCAGCGGAGCGTGGCATCCATTGACGGAATTTACCACGAATAAGTTGCATCACTTTTGGCTGAATTTTAAGATGTGTTTTCTAGAGGAGATTACGACTTAGGGAGAACTGGCGAAGTAAAACACCCTATAAATGTTGGAACGGCACAACCAATTAAGGAACAACCCCGGCGCCAGACGATGGAGGCCAATGAGCAGATGAACCAGCAAGTGCAGAACCTATTAGATAGAGGCCTGATTGAGCAAGAACAATCACAACATCTAATGTTGTCTTGGTCACGAAAAAGAAGCCCTTTTGCGTGATTACAGGCGTTTGAATTCAGTTACCATAAAAGATGCCTATCCCATACCTAGGATAAATGACTCACTTGACGCACTTTCAGGAGCCAGGTGGTTTTCCACCTTGGACCTCCCCTCAGGATATTGGCAAGTTGAATTAGATGCCTAGGCGAAAGATAAATGAGCATTTGTAGTGCGTGGGGGGGGGGCCTGTATTCCTGGAAGGTAATGCCGTTTGGGCTGTGTAACGCTCCATCAACATTTGAGAGACTGAGAGAACACGTTCTATCTGGATTGCAATGTGATATACTACTGGTGTATTTAGATGACATAATTGTGTATGGGAAAACTGTAGAGAAGGAGATCAACCGCCTTAGGTAAGTCTTTGTTCGATTATGAGGAGCAGGCCTAAAATTGAAACCAGATAATTGCACCCTGTTCAAAGATGAAGTCTTGTATCTAGGGCATCGAGTTTCGCATGCCGGAGTGATGACTGACCCGGCTAAAATTGAAGCCATAAAGAAATGGCCTACACCGACCTCGGTCAGAGGAGTACGCAGTTTCTTAGGAATAGCCTCGTACTATAGACGTTTCATCAAGGGTTTTGCCTCAATAGCAGCACCACTGTATAAATTAACTGAGAAAGCCAGAAGATTCTCATGGGATACTGACTGTGAGGGAGCTTTTGTGGAACTAAAGGTTCGAATAACAAGGTCATCATTCTTGGCCTACCCTCTACCGGAGGGACAGTTCATATTGGACACTGATGCGAGTGATGTAGGTATTGGTGGTACTCTCACAAATCCAGGGTGACGAGGAAAGCGTAATCAGCTATGCAAGCCGTACCCTGAGTAAATCCGAACGAAATTATTGTGCTACACGACGAGAGGTGTTAGCAGTGGTAGTGTGCTTAAGGCACCATCGCCAGTATCTTTATGGGCGCCATATTGTGATCAGGACCGATCATGCGTCATTACGCGGGCTGCCGAATTTCAACCAGCCAGAAGGACAGCTAGCGAGATGGCTGCAGGCAATAGGAGAGTATGATTTTGAAGTGGTCCACCGGTCCGGACTAAAACATGGTAATGCTGATGGGATATCGAGGAAACCATGTGTACAATGCGGAAAGACCACAGATAACATGCAGAAGAAGAAAGAAGCCTATGTAGGCATAGAAGCCGAAATGGAACCACCATTAGATTCATTAGGAACGTATGCTTCTGTACGAGTGGTACAAATACAACCCAACACTCGCCTCGATGACATTCGTAGAGCCCAGCTGGAAGATAATTCAATGCGGAGAGTTATGGAAATCAAGGAACAAGGCGGACCACAGCCGCCATGGGAGGAAATGGCTGGATTGAGCCGAACTGACAAAGTGTACTGGCAGATTTGGAACTTGTTGGAGGTGCGTGATGGAGTTTTGTGTCGTAGGTGGGAATCAGATGATGGACATGAAACTGGTCCTTCCAGTAGAGATGAGAGTAGCAGCTCTAGAAGAACTTCATGGGGGAAAAACCAGCGGACATCTGGGAGTTGCAAAGACGACAGCTAGGCTAACTCAAAGTTATTTCTGGCCGGAGATGCGCAGTTGGATTCGAACGTGGATTCGGCAGTGTGATGCTTGCGTCTGAAGGAAATAACCACCAAAGAAAAAGAAAGCACCACTTCAGCAGCAGGCTGTTGGCAGTCCGATGGAGAGATGGCCCTTTTCCTGAGTCTGATAGAGGCAATAATTACATACTCGTTGTTGGCGATTATTTCTTCAAATGGACGGAGGCCTACCCAATACCAAATGAGAGGGCTGAAACTGTTGCCCGTTGTTTCGTGGAGAACTTCGTGCTGAGGTATGGTGTCCCACGACAGTTACACACTGATCAGGGGAGAAACTTCGAGTCGGACCTTATTGCAGAATTGTGCAAAATTCTAGGGGTGGATAAGACACGGACGACACCTTACAACCCGAAGTCTGATGGCATGGTTGAGCGGTTCAACCGTACCCTTGTAAATATGTTGGCAACCATGCTAGATCTACATCGTAATCAAAGAGATTGGGATGAACATGTACAACCTTCGCATATAGATGCACACTACAAGAATCCACAGGGGAAACACCCAATATGATGGTGCTAGGGAGAGAAGTAGCCCTCCCTCTTGATTTAATGCTACCCACTAGTGTGGGTGAAGTGAAGTGAAGACCGAAGTGAAGACTGACTACGTTGAGCAACTTCGGACAAGAATTCGTGCAGCTCATGAACGGGCGCGACATGTATTGAAGCTTAGTGCACGACGACAAAAGAGGACATATGACCAGAAAGCGAGCAGACAGGAACTAGCAGAAGGGCAGTTCGTGTCGCTGTACAATTCGGCCAAGACAATAGGCAAGTCTCCAAAATTACAACAGCTAGTGAAGCTGAAGCTAGAGACGAGAGGCCGGATATACAAACCCCAATTGAGATGGTCGAAACGACACCAACTGAACTTAACGAGTCGGCAGGCAGTAGTCAAGAGTTAGTTAACGAACTACTGGGTCCACAAAGCTCAGACGAATTAAGCGGTGGCCAAGAAGAAGTACCAGAACTACAATATAGTGGAAGTCCACCCGAAATCAACAAGGAATCAGCGGACGTCGTAACACCACCGACAGTTACTGTAGTAGAGCATTGTCGTCCTATGAGGTTCCCGAGGGCACGAAGAAGGCCCGCTAGCTACGACGAATAGTACAAGGGAAATACTTTTGCACGGGATAAGAGACAGGAACTCCACAGGATCATGTTTTTGCTTATTATTTTGCTTCTTTCTTTTTTTTTTATTAAGTAAGACCACAGTTGAGATGAGAGGAGAACGTTCATACAGGTGCGAAGAGTGTTGAAGTACCACTGCCAAAGGTAGAAATACCAGTGCCAGAAGTGGTGGCGCCAGCACCAGAGATGGTGGATCCAGCAGGCGATGTGTTGTTAAGTTTAACGCCAGGGTCAGCTTTTAGTCCCGTAAGGAGATGTCTCCAGCTAATTGTACCAAAGGGAAAACCTAGTAATCTTCTCTGTTAGGCGCAAATATAAGCAGTGATTCGGAAACTGCCTGTGAGGGTGTGTCAGATTCGCCGCCCCGATTCCAGACTAAGAGGACCTTAGTGGATTTGGAGGCTTTGTTACATGGAAGAGTGAAAACCATGAAGGAGATTGTCTGCGAAACGGAATGCCGTCACGGAAAGAAAGTTCGGGAAGTGGTGACAACAAGAGAATATACCGTGTTATAGTTCTAAAGACCTAATCGTTTGTTAAACTTAATCTAAATGGCAATTTTATTTCATAATTATGTTGTGATTTGTTGTAAAGTTTATAATGATGATTCAGTAATCTTATATGATAACTTATAATAATAATTGGACATTATGATTACTTCTTTATCTTAGTTAATTTGTTCTTGTTTTTTTTTAAATAAATGAGTTTCTTGCGTATCGTATCGTATCGGGGGAAGTGTAACAAAATGGTGCAGTTCACCCCTCTATTATAAATAGATTAGGCCACTCCCTAATGCTGGGAGCCGATTGGCTATCTAAAAATAGTTGGGTTGGGATCTTAAGACCCATCGCCCAAGACATGTAGTAGTTGAGGTCTGGATCTCATGAAGTTTAGAACTGGGAAATCCCGACGTTGTGTTAAGTAAGGTAGGACCTGTAGTAATTATATAAAATAGTTGAACTCAGTCATTAAGACTTGAGAGCCCAGTAAGGGACAGGCCTACTTACAGTTTAATTCTGGTGTTAACGGGAACCGGTAGGCGGCTGCTGTGTGCTCCGCATATATGACATTGTATTTGTTGTTGTTATCTATTATTTTTGGAATTACCAAGTTCCACAAGTACATTTATGGTAGGGATTTCATCATCCAGACAGACCATAAGCCGTTGCTGAGACTACTCAAGGAAGATCGACTTGTTTCCCCTATGGCAAGTGCACGAATTCAACGTTGGGCACTGAAACTGGCAAACTATAGCTACACTTTGCAGTATAGGCCTGGAGTTCAGAATGGTAACGCCGATGGTCTTAGCAGACTACCATTGGCAACATCACCGGCTACCGTTCCTGTACCAGAGGAAGTAGTGTTTGCGATGGCTTTGTTAGACGGCACCCCAGTGACAGCATCACTAGTGGCCAAATGGACGGCTAGAGACCCAGTGTTATCAGCCGTCGTCAGGTTTATACTTCAAGATTGGCCTTCTCAAGTAGGAGAAGAATACAGACCTTTTCATCGCCGGAATAATGAACTATCTGTGCAGAAAGGCTGTGTACTTTGGGGCTCAAGAGTGATAATTCCAGTTCAGGGTCGGGAAAGACTCTTAGCAGAATTGCATGACAGTCATCCTGGAATGGTGCGAATGAAGGCCCTCGCACGTAGCTACTTATGGTGGCTTGGGCTAGACCTAGACATTGAAACCACAGTTCGCGGATGCACTGTTTGTCAACAGCATGGTAAAGTACCGCCAAGGGCAAGTCTGCACTCATGGGAATGGCCAGGAAAGCCTTGGTACCGGATACACATAGATTATGCCGGACCATTTGAAGGCAAAATGATACTGGTGATAGTAGACGCACACAGCTAGTACATTGATGCTCATATCATGTCATCTAGTACCACTTCAGCCACGTTAATTAAGTTACGTCAAACCTTTGCAACACATGGCGTACCATGTAACTTGGTATCAGATAATGGTACCTCCTTCATCAGCCAAGAGTTCCAGACATTTTGCAAACAGAATGGAATCAAGCATACTTGCAGCTCACCGTATCACCCAGCAAGCAACGGGTTGGCTGAGCGAGCTGTGCAAACGGTGAAAGAAGGATTAACAAAGACTCAAGGTGGTGACTTGGAATCAAGGTTATACCGATTCCTAGCGCAGTATAGACTCACACCACAGACTACGACTGGACAGTCACCTGCAGAACTGCTTATGAAAAGACGTCCAAGGTCTCGTGTTGACGTTGTCTACCCTAGTATGGAGAACGACGTACTAACTAAACAGGCGAAAGCAGTAGCACAACGAGAAACAGCTAACGAACGAGCGCTTATTCTATGAGGGAGATGCTGTATGGGTTGTGAACTTTGCTGGAAAGCCCAAGTGGCTACCAGGGGTACTTCATCACAAGTTAGGTCCTGTCTCCTCCTTTAATGTACATATGAAGGATGGTCGAGAATAGCGTCGGCACATCGACCATATTCGCAAACGTTTTCCAGATGAAACCATCTTGTGTCACGGAGCCAACTACAGCGGACGTTGGTAAACCGTCTTGTGTAATGACGCCAATGGCAATCGACGTACCGGTTGAAAAATCACCACACAATTCAGGGAACCAGCAAACTGATTCTCGTAATATGCCAGATCACAGCTGCAACAAAGGCATCGAACCAAAAACCATGACAGCTGGAGGGAAATTGGTAGAACTTCGGAGATCAGGCAGAATTCGTAAAGCACCGGACAGATTGAATTTGTATTTACTTTGTATGTACTTTCTATTTGCATGTTATCATGGTTTATGATGATCTTTGAACATTATTTGGAACTTTATAATCGCACAGGTATGAGTTGTTTTTTATACACTGGACTTCATAGGTCTAAATGCTTTGTGTTTAAAGTAATTCGTCGAATTGATGTGCTATCTAAATCACCTGCCAAATTGATTTTAGCTAATGGATAGATAATGATATGACATGCCTCTATAAATACAGTAATTCTCAGGAACTGGCCACGTTGACTTTAAGTCCCCACTGGCAAGGAATGTTATTGTTGTTAAATAAAACCTCCGAGTTAAGTTGTTCTAAACTAAGGTGGAGGACCCGTAGCCAGGGGGGGTTTTTATGGTTCGGGCGAACCCCCCTTTTCTAGCGAACCCCCTCGAATTGAATGAGTCCCACTCGGACGGAATGTCTGTTTTTAACTTACCCAGCATTACATCAAAATTTAGCACCTTATTCATTATTTGGTCACCCGTTTTTAAATTGTAGCCTGCGATACAAGCCCTGTCTCTTATACACATCTAGATGTGTATAAGAGACAGCCGTAGGCCTACGTACGTGTGCTGCGTCGTCGTAGTCACCTTAAAAAAAAACGAAAACAGCTCTTGGTGTAGTACGCGAACAGTGTCTTGGCGTTGCCGTCACGGTCCATGAG